AAAATAAGGTCAAACAACTTCTATACAACGAAAGGAGACTGCGACCACACAAAAGTCCACACCATCTTGGCCTTCATACTTTGTTATTTTTAATTTGACGGAAGCTACAAAGGGTAAGAAAATTCTGAGTGGGTGAGGAGACAATTAGACATAAGAAAATGCAACTCGATGAAAAAACGGAATCATAATAAATTGAGTAAATAACTGGCTAGTAAAGTGAAGATAAACGACTTGAGATAACACCTTGATATGACGATGAGATGATCCTCAGAAATATTTGAATCATTATGTGTAGAATAAGCATAGCAAAATCTTGTTCTAGACACTTACGTTGATGAGATTATAATTATAAAACATATTTTTATATAGAGAAATACGGTTTACTTACAGGATACGGCCGATCTACACTCAAGTCGTTTTCAACATTATCTTTAATATGATCAAAGCTGCTAATTAATTCGTCTGGCATATATTCGTCCACCTTCTTTTGGCTGCACCCAGAATTTCTGCAACTAAGACCACAGAAGCATAAGATATCCACCTGTCCTTTGTCCATAAAAGAAGCTGAAGTGGGGTCTATTAGAGGATTCAGCTGATGCCTCGCCTCGTGACATACGGGCCTTCTCAAGCTGGGTTCTAAGCTAAGACCACAACATTTGGAGAAAGAAGCACAGAATCGATCTTCTTCAGCTGTCATGGAGCGGCCAAGAGGAGACAACCGACGTTGTTGGATAAATGTTCCACTTAGTGAGTCCGCAGCTTCATCAGATGAGATGGGCGTTGATTCAGAAGATATGCAGGTGGATGTTAGGGAAAGAACAGATCCTGGATGGTCGATCAGAGGTAAGGAAGAGGAATGAGAGCCAGTAGAAGAGTCCTCATCCACAGGAGAATTGACGCCTGAACTATTATCTAATTCATCACGCAGACCCCATACGTAGCCAAGACGCTCTTGTGCTTTACTTAACTCGATCCGATTAGCTTGAAGCTTATAATAAAGTGTATCCATACTCGACTCAAGATTATTTAAATCAGTGCTTAGACTAGAAGTCAAGCGCGTAAGGCTGGAGAAAAATCGAAAGTCCTCAACCGAATTAGACGCCAGAGCAGGAGCAACAGGGAAGGATGACATGGCTTGCTCAATAGAGTGATACGGAGGGGGAGATGACCTAGATTGAGACTTAGTGCTGACTTGAGGCGAGAGTGTCTGTTGGTGAATAGCTTGCGATGAATGAGAGACAGGAAGTAGAGTAGAGGCAATAGATGATGATGATGAGACGGCATCCCTAAAAGGTGTCTGTCTGGTTCCCAAGAGAAAGTCCACTCGAGCAAAAAGTTGACTGAACTGGGTCTCGTCCAGGAAGTCCAAATTTGGATCCTTCGTGTTGTTCTCTGAGGTCAAAGTAAGTGGCGATCTACAAGAAAAATACCCTTTAGTCCCTAAAGCTTGTCTTTTTGGAGGTCGGAGAAGAGAGTCAGAGTAAGCGTAAATGTCGTCCAGTTGAGCCTCGTCGTCGAACTCAAAACCATCCTCTTCCCCCGTTAGCTCAAGGTCGCTATCTATGTCTGTAGCTGAAAGACTAATGGTTTGTTTTAAATCATCATTCCGCCTTGCGGTGGCAACAAGGGAGGTTTTCACAGCAGAAGTTGAAACGATAGGTGGGCGAAATAAGCAATGGCTGCTGTCGGCAGAAATGGGAGAGAGAGGAAAGGAAGATTCAGATACCAGCCTGCTGGCGACGGAAAAACCAGTGAAAAGAGATGGTAATGAGTTGGGAGGCCCAGACATGATAGCCAATGGTCCAAGTGGGACTTGGTGTGCCTTTATTTGTTGTACAACCTTGGGGACAAATTCTGGATGATGTTGTGTCTGCGATGAAGAGACTAAATTAAGGGGAATCGGTGGAGTAGGCTGGCCGATAAGACCAGAATAAAAACCTCCGGTCTCTTGATTCAGAGGAAGTAATGTAGAGTTGATATGAAGTCGACAAGCTTCGGTCAAAAAGGAGGGCAATGTCTCAATAACGCGGCAAAGAACTCCGGAATTTAAAGATGGCAGCTTGAGTGGTGAATAAAAGCTGGTGGATGTAGTATGAAAGCCATAGAGGAACGATTTTAGCAAGGCACGTGAGTTGACCATGCCAGATGAACTGTTATTGCTGTTAGTCGTTAGATGCATGTCAATACTAGAGGCTGTAATTTAGGAGGACAAAGAAAATAAAAACGAATAACAATAGGATTGGCCGAAAAATGCCTAATCTAAGAGATTTTGTGAAACGATTCCATTTTAGATAAATAACACTAGTTTACTCCAAGTATTTACATATGAGTGGACTTTTGAGAATGATGATTGAGGCAGAAAAGACTTTAAATTAGCATGGATAGAAGTGGTTTGATTTCGTTTTCGCAATTTAGTCGTGTTGTCAGAGAAAACTAGATAAGCAAACTTCTTCTGAAGTCCTCTGCCATAATAGTCATGGCAAGACAGTTAAACTGGTACATTCCCAGACGCATCGACGGTATTGTCAATGAGCCTTGCCAGTCTTAGCATTAAGCTGAAACTTGTCAAAGAACCAAGTAAAGTCCATCCTTTGTCCAACTTTCAGCTGAAAAGATATGGTATGACTAGTTCTATCCTAATACATTTAGCTATCCTATGCTCTAGTAACTCCCTTTTCAATTTCAAGAGAATTCCCTCAAATAATCGAATACATTGGATTGGCAGAAACCAAACTGTTAAAATTTTTTGCGCACAATCCATGAATACAAATATCAAAAGTGACAGGGTACTCAAGGGCCTGCTGGAGATCCTGCAACTCTGGAATCAGATAAGGTACGGAGTCCATAACATGACGAATCAACTTGAGAATATGGACCACTTCACATTAAAATGCAATAACTATGAACAAATATTTAGACTACTTATGGGATCTTCACCATCACCTATTCAGGCAAATGTATACATAGACAAATAATAAAAAGGAATTCGAGACTTCATCATTGCGACAGTTATCGTGAGATCCCTGGATGACAACTTTGCACTTTGGTTGCATCTGATAGACCAGCTTAATAGAATAATCGAAATAGCAGTGGAGGTAGATGAGGATTAGGAGTTACCAATCGTGGATGTTAATGTGATTCTTTCATCCGGTTGGTTTATAAACTTATAGAAGTCATCAAAAATTCATCTTCCATGCGACAAGCTGGAGATGCCTAGACCAAATAGCCAGCGCAAAAGCACTCCTGGTTGCAGTAATCTGTCGTTCGCTTCACTGAACTTCAAGCATATAAATTTCGAAAGTTTTGGTAGGAGAGCGGGGTCAGACAAAGCAAAAGCGACTCAGGAAATGCAGTGGAGACTAGAGACATGAGTTCTCGATAGGTTCACATTAGACTAGCTAACTCATTGAAGTTTGAGAGAAATGAGTACATGACCATGAGATCTACCAACATAGTACACATTCCGAAATGAGAAACGAGAGAGGATGCCTCTTGAATTGCGCCAACATGAATGCCGTATTAAAAACAAACGGCTGCAGAACAACGAGAATAGTCTGTAAATTTCAAAATCATGGTTAGATCTTAAATAAGAACTCCAGACAGGCTTAATACTGGCATACCTTTCATTTCGTTTGAGAAAGTGGGTGGAAATGATTCGTAGATTGGCCTCACCGGATACCGAAGGAAGGTTGCTTTGGACTTTTGTCTGTTGAAGTATGCGAGGAATAGTTCGGCCCACCGTCCTACGACCCCGATAACGAAGAACCTCATCTTATTTTCACATCAGGCTAGGCTCATTTAATGATAAATGGACTGACAATTGAATTACCCACAATGAAAGGAGTACAACGCAAGATGCTATTGTATTTCACAAGGCCTTGCCTTCCAGAAAGGCTTCTCATACAGGATAGTCTGGTTATAGATCTTCATCAGCACACACAACAGGATTGGAAACTGGGTCTTTTGCTTCAAGTTTAGATATTTCTATCTAACACAATCTGCTGATGAGCCCTAGACGAGATCGAAATTGCAGTCCACATTAGAGAAAGCTCTTTGAAAGATATGGCTAGGTGTAGGCCAATGACATCGTTACGTCTACTGATCTCATTAAAGAAAAATCAACAATCAGTCCTAAAATTAGATTAAACCATCTAGATTTCCTCAAGCAGCCATCTTGTGAATGACCCGACCCTTACCTTTCATTAAATATACTAATTATGTCGTAGATATAAAGACTAAGACTAAATATAAACCTTGGGCATTCTTCTAATGAAATCCAAAATGTGTAGGAGACATGCGACTCTAGAGCAAATTGTGAAATAAAACCTAGTCTAAGCGAACATCTATGCCATCTGAAGTAACAGCAAAATCAGGCTAATACATAATACTGTCACGCAGTCGCCTCCTTTCCACGAAGATTTGTGGCTCCATTTACCGAAGGATAGCTGAACCCTGTATTGCTTGTTAAGGGTTGAGCATTCAATGGTTAGAGGTTGAGAAAAACACTGAGGAAGATAAAGAACAAATATGGAAGAAAAATCTGGTTTGTTTCCTTAAGGACTATTATTATGGAGAGTTATGGCTTCAGCCTCAAGTATAACGCCTACGTCCACGTTATCAGCCCCTGTACTGTATCAGTTTCACTTAATCCTGAAACTCCATTTCACTTAATTAAGCGTATATGTATATATATATATATATGCATGCCTGTGTTAAAAATCCCATTGTAAAACAGGATACAATGGAACGCCCCCTCAGTTAACTCGTTTCCTGGCAGCCAACTTAGATTGTGCTACCAGCCTCCGTTTCAGCACTCAAATTGATTTGGAGATCTAGATCTTGAAAATCGCATTCATAATCGTAATATACTCGGGCCTTTGTAATCCCTCATATATATGTCCCCAGACAGACCAAGCCATGCCAATTAATTGGAGCTAGTTACATGCTTGAAATTCTCTCACTATAATCGCACTATTTCTATTTGGCCCTCAAGGTCCTCTTACTGGCTATTCGTTTCCTTTGGTACAAGCGTCTCATTTATAGTTTCCGTGCTAGATACCGAATTTCTCATATTCTGCCCAAAAAGTAGGCGAGATTCCTTCTGAGTGTACCTTTCCCCAATCAATTGTCCATTATTTTCTATGAAAAAGGTTGTCCGTTTCTTATCTTCAGGTTCCTTGTATTTTCACCGTATGAGGCCAAAATTGATTATCAGTAAATGTTTTGTCCGGAACCATGAGGTGTGTTCGGCTATCTACTATCTTTCTCTACCCATCATTTTGCGGGACTGCTGATGCTCTTTAACCCATATGATGATTGCCTTTCCCATCCTCAATATAATTTTGTTTAGAACTATTGCAATTGATGCAATAAACTTTCGAGCAACATATTATGCGGAATTTGTCATGCTATGTAGGTAAGCTAATGAGGATGCTCTATTTCATTGGCAGTGGCTGTAGCTTCCGGG